AGGAGTGATAGGGAATGGCAAAGGACACACCGACAAAGGAGATTAATCAGAACTGACTTTGACAAGCACTGTGGCAATTGGACAATTAAAACAGACATTTGGATGGCGGGGAAGAAGAACAAACTGGGAAGGAGGGTGCAGAGAATCGTGCGGCAATGAAGGAGTGAAAGCCCAGAATCCCTGTGAGTGTTCATTGAAACTAATAAAATTTAATAATTAAAAAAAAACCACCTCAAAAACAATGTGTGTATTGATGACATCACTTTTATTAATGACAAAATTTCGCCCGCATGGATCTTCTTTTGATTGCTTCATTTTTAAAGATTATAATTTCAGATCCAGTAGAAAGTAGTGGTTATAGTATTGCTTTTGATTTATAAACCTAATAAGATGTTACAAGTAGTTAGTTCTACTCTGATGTAAACATCAAAGTCATTAACAATTCATGTTATTCAGATGACACAACTTTGCTTGAATAAAGAGAATTGAAGTACTTGAAGTTGAAGATAAAAGACTACAGCTTTCAATACGGATTACACCTCAAAATCAAGAAAAATCATCACCATTAGACTTAATAAGCAACTTCAAAATAGAGCAAAGACTGAAATTGTTAATGATTTTATTTTACTGGAATCCACAATCAACATCGTGGTAGCATCAATCAAGAAATCAAAAGATATGTTTGTACTGGGGAATGCTGCTGTCAAGGATCTATTTAGAGTACTAAACAACAAGGATGTCAGTTTAAAGATTTAGGTGCACCTGATCCAAGCCTTGGGTCTTTTTAATTGCTTCCTACATATTTGAAAGTTGGACAATGAATAAGGGAGAACAAAGAATCCATGCCTTGAATTGAGGTGTTGCTGAAGAATATTGAAAATACCATGAGGTTGAGGAAAGTCATTGAGACAGAACCACTACATAACTGACCTTCCAGTGGGCTTTTAGGGGCAGTAAGTCACATAGGAGGAGATGACTCATTCTTGTCACATAGAACAGCTGGTGGATTCCAAACACTTGCCTTTGAGACTGCAGTTTAGTTTTTTTATATAACAATAAAACCTCTCTTGAAAGAAGTGCAACTAGGGTGCTCATTAAATGCAAGGATGGTGAAACGTCAATCTCACATAATTTGGGCCTATTTTCCAGGGAATCACACCTTAAGAGACAGATATCATGATGGAATAGGTAGATGTCTGTAAAAGAGAGGAAAACCCTCAACTGGATTGCTTGAAGTGTTAGTCACAGGACAGGTCATTGAGGATGGTGCAGGAAATTGCAAGGTTCCTATTTGCTGTTAAAGTTTTAAGTTTGTCTCTCATGGAGTTGCTATGAGTTGTAAATGACTTGATGACACCCAACAGGAACATGTAATTATCAAAACTCTTTTCCAATAAATATTACAAGATCTGCTGAAAATTATCCAAAAACAACTGGAACATCAACAGAGAACTATCAGAAGTTGAGGCTGGATTTAGGAGAGGCTGTGGTACTAAGGGTATTAGATGGATCTTGGCTGAAAGAAGAGTACCAGAGGAATGTCTATCTATGTTTTATTGACTATGCAAAGGCATTTCACCATGTGGATCACAACAAACTGTGGCTAACTTTGAGAAGAATAGGAATCCCAGAACACTTAATTGTGCTTATGTGAAACCTATGCTTGGACCAGGAGGCAGTTGTCAGAACAGAGCAAGGAAACACTACATGGTTCAAAATTGGGAAGGATGTAAGCCAGGTATGTGTTCTATCTCCATACCTTTTTTAATCTATATGCAGAAAAGGTTATCCGGGAGGCTGGGGAAAATGTAGTATCAGGATTGGAGGAAGACTTTTCAGCAATCTGCATTATGCAGATGACACAGCCCTGCTTGCTGAAACTGAGGACCTGAAGCACTTGCTTCAAAAGATCAAGAACTGCAGTCTTAATATAGATTGAAGCTCAACATCAAGAAAACAATGACTCTCACAACTGGCCCAAATTACAGCGTTATGCCAGATGATGAAGAGATTGAGATTGTTAATAGCTTCAGTTTGCTTGGTTCCAAAATCAACATTCTTGGTACTAGCAGCCAGAAAACTAAGAGACAAATTGCATTGGGAAAGTATGCTGTCCTCTCCAAAGTACTCAAGAGCAAGGATGTCAGTCTAGAGACTAAGGTGCACCTGATTCAGGCCATGACCTTTGCAATTATTTGCTATGTGTCAGTAAGCTGGACAATGACTTGGGATGATAGGGGAATTGATGCCTTTGAGCTGTAGTGCTGGAGAAGAGTATTGAACACACACACACACACACACACACACACACACACACTCTACTAGGAGAACAGGTTTGTCCAAGAAAGGGTGAAACCAGGTTGTTCTTTGGAGGCAAGGATTCTGAAGCTTCGTCTTCATGATGCAAGGTGGGACCCCTTGGAGAAAGACCTCACGCATGGGAGGGTGGAGGAACAGAGCAGGAGAGAAAGACCCTGGATGAGATGGATTTATTCAGTGACTGGGGTAATGGGGGTAGGTGTGTCAGAGACAATGAGTTTGGCACAGGATAGTGTGGGCATTAGGGCTGTTGTACATAGGGTCGCTATGAGTCGCAAGCGACTCCACGGCCCATAACAACTTCCAATAAAGAGATAATGTTCCCGAACTATGCTACCTAAATCACGCTTTGGGAAAAACGATCAATGAAAACTGAAAGTCTTGTGAGATGCAAGCTGGGGACGTATCAGTTTTACTTCTTCCAAGAGATATTAGTACTGAAAAGTGAAGCAAAACGAGCAGAAAACAAATTTCCTACAAAAGCACAATGCTACTGAGCTGCTGAGTCCTCAGTGGGTTAATCTGGCCCAGGAAGTTCTGGGGCCCGCAATCCAGTTCCAAAAGCACATACACCGCCCACGGAGCCCGGGCTCTCAAAACAATCTATGATTATTTGCTCAGCAGGGAATAGCAACATGAGCTACACGCGTCCCAGCCACAGCTGCCAAAGGACCACGGCTGGAAGTGCCCTCGCCCCTGCTGCCACCAGCGTTAAGTAGGGAGAGCAGGAACTAGAAGCGCTCACGCGGGGAAAGAAAGGCGCAGGCGTAGTGACGTCAGGTGGCCTTGGAGGGAGGGAGGTGGAAGAAGTGGAGGGGGCGGGCCGACCCCAAAGATGGCGGAGGCTGAGGTGAGTTGAGGTCTCCTGGAGCGAGGCGGCCTGAGCACGAGCTGAGTCAAGGGAGGAGGAACTCCTTGTGTTTTTGCACCTGAGGACCATGGTGGCAGGTGCGGGAAATAGAGAGGAGGGAAGGCACAGGGCCTGCCAGATGAGGGGCCCAGTTATTTGGGAGCTCGGTGGAGGTCAGTGGACGCGAGGCCCTGCCTATGGTGGAAGAGTGTCAGAGTGGGAAGAAGGGTGGAAGAGGACACAGAGGGCGGCCGGGAGGTCAGAGGCGTGTATTCGCTGGCCTTGGGCCTCAGCACAGTGGTAGCGACGGACGGGGACGGGACAAAGGCAGGTGGTGGAGTCAGTTTAGAATCTGCAGAAAAGTATGTTGGCATTGAACTGAGAAGTGAAAATGTGGTATTTGAGATTAGAATTAATTTTTTTTGAAGTAGGTGTGTGAGTAAAGAGAACTCTCAGCTTGGGCCTGGGAGTTGGTTAAAGATAATGGGATTTTGGAGTTGGTTAACTGGGATTGGAAGGGTAGGGCTGTTATGTAGATATTAGGGAAGGGCGAGGAGGTTGTTAAAATTATGCTCCTTTAGTGTTGAGAAAAAGTTGTTACATTGTTTGCTAGGTGGTCTAGGGAAGTAGCTTATGCATCTATTGTAGAAGGATTGCTGAGGAAATGCATTAAGCAGTGGCCGCTGAAACTGGCCAGGTCAGTGCTACAGGGGACTGAGGTTTATGGGTGGGGGCGAGAAGGTAGTTCCAGTTCTGCTTTGGGGAAGGATTAGCAGAGCAGTGACTGGCTGGGTTTCATATTCATACTTCTGAGCTTGGCCCTTTTAGTGAATCACGTTGTTAGATATTCTCAAGTCAAGTAAGGACTCATAGCGACCCTGTGAACAACAGATCTGAACCCCGTCCTGTGCCATCCTCACAATCTCTCACATACTCGAGGCCATCGCTGCAGACACTTTGTCAGGCCACCTGGTTGAGATTCTTACTCTTTTTTGCCGTCCTTCCGCGTTTCCTAGCATGATGCCCGTCTCCAAGGCACAGCCTCATTAGAAACATTTAAAAAGGAGATGGAGGAGGGATATTTAGTATCCATTGTTGGGTATTGTGTAGTCGGAACCCAGTTTTGAGGATTAAGCAGAGCAAGTGGTGGAAGGTGCACAGCACAACTCTCTATTAGCCTTCTACTCTTTTCTTTGCATATTGTGTTTTATAGTTCAAAAATTTATACAATGGTTGTGCTGTGAATCAGAAACGTTTGGGAAAGGAATTTGAAGGAGAACTGCGCAAGAAGTTGTGTTGTCAACCCAAAGGTTTGCAGTTGAAATCTACCAGCTGCTATGATCTTACATAGCTGTGATTAACAGCTTCTGGAAACCCTCTGGAGGATTAGACCTGAGTTGGTTAACTCCAAGTGAATTGGTTTTGGTGTTTGTTTGTCTGGTAGGTTTTTAAATTTTTTATTGAAAGGAAAGGAAACAAAACAACATAGTCATTTTAAGACAGTTTGTTTTCATTACTACTAGAAAATTAGAGATGATGTAGTAACCTTTTCAGGAACTGAGGTTTGGCACTTTTAAGGCATAGTAGAATGTAAATACTGCTTCCTTAATGAGTTCATTGTTTGGATTTTAATGTTAAATGCACAGCTGAGTTGAATGTCTGAAAGATAAAACTCCCCCCCCCCAGAAGTTTTTAGTGCCCTTAACTCTAAGCAACATCATGATAAATCAAGGCGCTAGTGACGTTACCCAGAATGTCAGATAATGTATTTCACTTGGCAGGTCAGCTCAATAACCTTTAGAGTATTAAAAAGCAGAGAGGTCAGTTTGAGGATTAAGTTGTGCTTAACTCAGGCTGTATATTTCAGTCACATGAGTGCAAAAGCTGGAGAACAAATAAAGAAGACCAAATAAGGATGGATACCTTTGAATTATGATTGAAGTGTATTGAAAACATGCTATTAAAAGAATGAACTATTATGGACTAAATGAACTAAAGAATGGACTATTAAAAGAATGAACACGTTTTTTTTAAAGAAAGCCAGAATAGTAAATGGAAGTGAGAATGGTGAGACATACTATGGGTGCATTGTTAGAAAGGCCAATTTCTGGAGAAGATACCATGCTTGGTAGAGAGCTGGTGAAAAAGACATTGACCCTTAGTGAGATGGTTACAGTGTTTGTAACAGTGAGCTCAAATATGATTGTGATTGTGAGGATGGCACAGGACTGGGCAGTGTTTTCTTATGTTGTACATTAATGTCTCTCTGAGTTGAAATGGACTCATTGATACCTAATAACGAAACAGATCCTGCTTCACTTCTGTTTCTCAAAACCCAGTCTACTACCATCTAATTAGCACCAACTTAGTGACCCAAAAGGACTCGGTAGAACTTCCCCACATGGTTTCCAAGGCTATAATTTGCACAGCAGTAGATTACAGCATTTTTTCTTATGTAGTTGAAACTGTTAGCCGCTGTACACTTTAACCACTGTTCTATCAGAGCTACTGTGCTTCGTTTAAGGAGCTGTAAGCCATTTCATTGATTTAGTTGTGCTTGTTACATTTGTTGAAACCTGGTTCGTATCCTATCATTTCCTAGTGTCTTATTTTTGCCAGTGTCTTTGGTGCAGCTTAAACTTCTTCCTTCATCTTGGTTCTTGATCATATGCTACTTCCCTGAAAGAATTCAGTGTTAGCCAATTCTTTTTTGTACAGGAACTCTGTATTTCTTCCCTCTCTTTTTGATGATCTCAAGCAACTCAGGGCTTGAATTTGTTCTTTAAACTTGAGAAATGCTGAATGAGTTCTTAATATTTTTGAATTTCAGCGCTGTGCACATTTCATTATAATACTTCACCTTGCCTTTTCAAGCTGCTCTTTGAAATTTTCTGTTCATCTCTTTTACTTCAGCATTTCTTCTTCTTGTCTAGTTTCTTGATATGCTAGTGCACATTTCAGTTTCTTCCCACATCTATTTTGGTCTTTTCTTTTTCGCTTTCTTCATGGATGATATCCTTGATGTCATTCCATAACTGATCTGATCTTCAGTCATTATTGTTCATGTCACAAACCTCTTCTTGAGATGATTTTTTTAAATTCAGGTGTTATAGACTCAAGGTCATATTTTGGTTCTTGTGGAATTGTTTAAATATTCTTCCACTTCTGTTTGAACTTGCACGAATAAATTGATGATTTGTTCTATAGTCAACACCTGGCCTGATTTTGATTGCTCACGCTGAGCTTCTTCAGTGATCCTTTCCACAGATTTAGTCAATCTGAGACCTCTGTCAGCTGAAGTCTGCATGTATAATCATGGTTTGTATTTTATAAGAAAGGTGTTTGCAATGAATAAATCATTAATTGTACACAGTTTAATCATTTGACCTCTAGCCTCATTTCTATCACCAATTTTGTAATTTTCACCTACCAGTTCATTGTTCTACCTTTTGTATTCAGTCTGTGACAGGAAATTTGAAAGTATAGACCAACTGACTGGAAGAGAACCATATTTGTTCTCAGTCCCAAAAAAAGGTTAATCCAGTAGAATATGGAAATAATTGAACAATATCATTAACAAAACATGCAAGTAAAATCTTGTTGAAGATTATCCAAAAAAGGCTAAAACAGGACATTGACAAGAGAACTGCCAGAATTTCAAGCTGAATTTCAAAGAAACGATGGCACCAGGGATCTCATTTCTGATGCCAGATATATGTTGGCTGAAAGCAAAGAACTAAAAGATTGTCTATTTGATTTATTATACAAATGACTGTACAAGATATAGTCTTTTCACTGTGTGGATTGTAACAAATTATGGCTAACATTAGAAGAATGGGAATCTCATTGTATGAGCACTTAATTGTGCTCATACAAAACTTAGACCAAGAAACTATTTTTCTCCAAAGTATGAGAACACTGTATGGTTTAAGATCAAGAAAGGAGTGTGTCAAGGCTATGTCCTTTCTCCATGCTTGTTAAATCTGTATGCTGAGCAGATCATCTGAGCAGCTGGACTTCATGAAGAGAAATGTGGTATCGGGATTGGACTCATCAACAACTTATGTTAGGCAGTCTTGCTTGCTGAAAGTGAAGAAGACATGAATTAAGTGCTGCCGAAGATCAAAGACTACAGCCTTCAATATGGATTACATCTTAATATCAAGAACACAAAAATCCTCAACCACTGGGCCGTGTCATGATAGGAGGAGAAGACATTGAAGTTGTCAGTGTTTTTAATCTTGCTAGGGTCCACAATCAACACTCTTGATACCAGCAGTCAAGAAATCACAAGATTTCCCTTGGGAAAATCTATTGTCAGGGACCTCTCCAAAGTCCTAAGGAACAATTATGGCAGTTTAAAGACCAAGGTACACCTGATTTCAGGCCATTGCATTTTCATTACTCACTGTGCTTCTGAAAGTTGAACAGAATGATAGAAGAAGAATTGATAACTTTTAGTTGTAGTTTTGGAGAAGATTACTTAATATCCCACTGACTGCCAAAAGAACAGACAACTATGTCTTGGAGGAAGTGCAACCAGGTTGCTCTTTAGAAGTGAGAATGACAAAGCTTTGTTTCACGTATTTTGAGCATGTTGTTAGCAGGGCCAGTCTTTGGAAAAGGATATCTTGCTTGGAAAGATGAAGAGTCAGCGGAAGAGAGGAAGATTCTTAATGAGGCAGATTGACACAGTGACTGTAATAATGGGCTCAAGTATATATATTAGAGATGATGAGGATGTATAAGACAGGATAAGTTTTAGATCTGTTTCTTTATAGGGATGCTAGTTACTTGACTCAATGGCACTTAACAACAGGAACAATATTTTAATTAGAAAGCGCTGGTAACTTTGTTTTCTTGATGTTGAGCTTTAATTAGTATTAAAGGCTGCAGTCCTTGACCTTCTGCAGCCAGTGTCTCATGTCCTCTTCAGTTTCAGTAAGCAAAGTTGTGTCATCTGCATAACACAGGTTGTTGAGTTTTTTTACCGATTCTGA